AAGCTTCTCTGAAAAAGCCTTTTCCTTTTTTCCTTTTCCTTTTCCTCTCCCCCCCCAGGCAAGGCCATGGTCTGCTTCGGGAACATGTTCATCGAGCTCCCAAAAGCACAGACCAAGGAGATGCTGCAGAAGGGTAAGGGAGGCTGCCGCAAACGCACAGCCTGCGTCTAGTCCAGACCATAATAACGTTTTAGAAGAATAAACAGGGTTCTGCCCAGCGCTAGGCTTTAAAGCACCCAAAACCTCCCGCTGGCAGTCCCACGCAGATTCTGGCCATCGCCATCGCTCAGCTGTCCTGGGCAGTGCCCTGGGAAGCACATTTGGGCACGAAGCAATGTGGGGCTGTGGGCAGCGGAGGGCAGGGTGGGACCCCGAGGCAGCCGAGGAGGAGCCCTCTCCTGCCCCCCGGGCCTGGGCTTCCACACCAAACGTCCCACAGGAGGTTCTGCCTGGACCCCAGAGCCCACAGTCCTCCTCACTCCTGTCCCGCTTGTCTCAGACCAGGAACATCTGGATGAGGAGATCAACAACCTCCGGAAGGAGCTGCGCGTGAAGGTCAACCGCCTCTTTGAAGCTCAAGGTAAACGCTTCTGCCCTGGAACCTTCTCAGTATCTGGGAGCCGATGTCGTGTGTCGGGAGGGTCCAGAAACTCCTGAGCTCTGTGTGTTCCTGCAGCCGTTTTCCCACTGGCTTTGCAATTCCTCCCCTGCTCCAGCAGGACTGTACGGCTCCTGGTGCGGAGTGTCACCCACCAGCACGCTAAACACTCCCACATCACGGCGGGGTGACGCCACATCAGCTTCCGGGGCTGTCCCTGCCCTCCCCACAGCCCCTCTAAAGTTTAACGTGGACTGCCTCACTTATTTTATAGCAAAATCCTGATTTTTGTGTGTTTTCTCGCAGGTAAAGCCGAGCTGAAGGGATTTAACCTGAACCCCATGACCGCTGAGGAAATGAAGCTAATCAATCGCATCCTGGAGGGCTGAGGTGGCCGTCCCATCGTCACGGCGGGGCCTGGGGCTGTCGCCCGCGGAGCTCGCACTGCGATAGCCGCAGCCCTCGGGGTTTGCAGGAGGACACTGGTGTGCCCGGAGCCCGCCTTGGGTGAGGTCCCTGGCACGGCGCTGGGAAGCGTTTGGCTCCTCGGCTACGATGCT